CAGAGGAATCACAGGATCAAGGCACCCCAGAAAGCTCCTCAAACCCTCACACAAATCAAGATACCACTCATAAATCCCCTCAAGCACAGACAACATGGATAATAATATATCCCAGCCAGAAACTCCACACCCTTGAAACTTATTCCCCTCCAAACAATTCCATTCTTCCTCCCCCTTGTGTCTCACACTAGTAACAATCCCCCTGATCCATGAAACAGTTATTTCCTCCTATCTTCTTCCATGGAATATTCCCCCCTTAGTTGTTTCATACTAGTAACCTTGGGAGCATTTTCCCACTGCTTGTTTCCCCTGTTTTCTCTGGATGAATATTTTCCCTTGTTTCATACTCTTTGTAGAATGTTCCACTTATCTTCCAACCACAAGCTGGCCACTCCCCAGAATTTTGTATATAAGGAGCTTTGTTTTTCCTCTTCATTTTTTCATCATCAGATCCTGCCCCAGCAATTCAGATAACTGATCACCCACTATTAGCCAGGTGTTTTTGCCCATCAACATTTGGGATACCTTGATCTGTGAACAAGTATATTTAGACTAGTAAACATAAGAAATATTAGACATACCATCCTCAAGAAATCTCCACAGCCACACCTTTCCATAAGAGTCCATACTCTTATATTTTCTTGTAACCAGAGAGGCAGCCCATTGAAGCATCCATCCCTCTCAAGCTCTATTCATCCCAAGAATAGTTCCACATTGCTTGGTTGGTTTCATAGCTTGCAGCCAAAAGATAGGTGTGTATTGTTTCAAGACGTTTCAAAAAGTTGTGATCTGGTCACTCACATCATCTCCTACTCACAATTGGTAGTACTTAATTGATCTTGGTCTTGCCTTATTGACGTGCTTTAATCAATCTCAATCTTGCTTTTTTGCTATCTATCATTTGCAAGCTTTAATCGATCTTGCTTGTTTTAATCAATCTTGCTTGCTTTATTCAATCTTGCTTGCTTTAATCAATCTTGCTTGCTGTAATCAATCTTGCTTGCTTCAACCGATCTCGCTCTTTACTTGTTGGTATTGTTTGCTCACTATTTTCTTGTGGTCTTGTTTGCACATTGTTGCCAATTTGATTGACCCGACCAATTCTGGATTAGTTGCTTGTTCAAGATATAGGTTTTGAGGCTTGTATTATTTGCTATTGTTTGCACCAACAGGTAGTCTGTAGTCTGTCTGATCTTCAAGCTAGGTATGTAAGCATTGATTCACATAAGTCAAAATAACTCTCTTTCCTGAACTGTAAGGGTATCTTGATTCTAATATAGCTCCTCTTTCCCTAAGCTAGCAACATCTACAGGCTGTTGATATCACACCTGTTTGGTTAAGCTAGCAAAATCTAAAGGTCTCTGATTGTCCAGCTAACCCTGTAAGTACCAACTCAGTTAAAAGCATTTGATCCCTGCTTGATATGAGCTTACCAATCAATAGAATGCTTGTGAATTGATAGGATTGATTGTAAAGGGGTTACAAGACTACTTCAAATAACCTACACATCTGGAACTCATTGTGGTAATGTAATCTCCAGTCATCTTTCAAACTTCAGATGATTGATTAATTCCTCTCATTCTTGTAAATTCCAGACCACCAATTGAATCTTCATCTTTGGCTATACAGACACATCACATACTCATATACTGTTGTGAGATACTCCTGATCTGTATAATTACTTGGTTGGGACAGTTCATGATGGAGAATGAGGCTGAAGTGCGAGTATGACCAAGAAATGCAATGAAGTCTAAGGCTAGAAAAAGACGACATATGAATGAGAGGCATTCAATTTTCTTGCTTGATATCAATGAGGCTGGCTTTTGAGGTCAGAAGATCATATGGTTAATGAAAACTTAACAAAAACTTCATTTGTACGCCCAAATCCATTCCGAAAAGAAAAAGCCAGCACACCACCCAACTAAAACAGAAATAAATGAAGCTCAGAAGATAGCAGATAAATTTCATTGTTTCCATCATGGTAAAGTCATCATCATTGACCGCACCAATGGTGAAGTTGTAGCTGTTGTCCAATTCACCCCCATCAATCAGCTTACACCACAAGAGAAAGCCGATATCAGCCTTGTGACAACTTTTTGGCACAAATGTAGAAAGTTTGTCAATCCAATTGCTCTGGATTGTACGTGGGGTGGTGAGATGTGTGGTGTTGGGTGGCGGAAATGCATGAAAGCTCTTGAGCTTTTTGGACGTTACATCAAGTTGAGAATTGCTTGGGCCTTCCCAAACAAGTATTTTTCCCTTGCTGCTCAATCAGTTTATGTTTCAAGTATCCTTGGCAAAATGTTCAAAATCCTGGTCTGCCACCAGGGGAAATCCCAGGGCACTGGACTGCCAGTGACTGCAATTCACCAATATTTCATTCAAATTTTCTCAAAAAATATTTTGGCTGGAAACCAAAATTCTCATCAAATTCACAAAGTCAGAAAATGAGTTGACTTTGTTTTTCACTGAAGTAGAAAATGAATTCACTCATAATATAATATGAAGTTCACTTGAATTTCCTGAGGAACTTATTTTTTGATTCACTGGAAATTGTACATTTTTTCTCATGATATGATAATATTAAAGGGCCATCAGCAAGAATCACACAATCTGTAGACCCTGTAGAGTTTAATTAGGCTTTGAAGGCCAGAATCCCTCACATGCATCTAGAATTTTTAGCCCTAGATCAACATTGGCAAGGGACACAGATTTGATGTGCAGACCTCCAAATGTAGGAATTACTATCAAAATCTGAGGACCCTACAGATTTATCATTTAATCTAGGGCCTTGAGGGCCAGATTTTTTCTGAAAAAATATAAATGCTTTGGTTCTTGATCAAAATCTGTGAGGACTTAAAATTTTACAGAACCTCTGCTTATATATTTAGGGACTTTACCACAGCCCCATTTTTCAGGTGAATTCCCAATTTCCATGTTGGAAACTGACTCTGCCAGAAATGGTGACCATATACCATGCACACCCAATTTTGCACAGTGCAGAAGACAGATTTTCAGTGCCAACCCCAAAATGAATTTTGGTTGGTGAAAAATAAAAAGATAAAAAATGGAAATGGAAATTGGCTGAGGTGCTATGGTACAGGCCTTTAGGGTGCAATCATTTTTAACTTTTTCAAATTTTCTTGCCATCTTCTCACCAAACTGGTAGCATTTGACATGCAGGTTACTCCCAACATAATTTGTGTCATTTTGAAATCATTTCCAATGCAAAAAAATTCTTCACAGTAGATTTGCATTGTAGTGTGGCTGAATTAATTGTTGAGTAACATATGAGTAGCAAACCAACTTTCACAAGAGTTTCTGTATTTCAAGGGCAGTTTATTAAGGTTTTTCCACATTGTGGGGGAATTGCTCCCAGAAAATGATGACTTGTAAGAGTTATGATGTTCAGCCAAGGCCATCATCAATCAACATGCAATGTTTTGGAATGTGGGGCTTCACACCAGTATCTGGTAGGTGGGGCCATATTTAATGCATTCAGCCACAATTTAGATTTTGTATGTGGATCCACATGTAATTGTTTGATTGGTGGAGCCATAGACCAAATTTTTGATGTGGGAACACAACTGGTTTTTTTTTGTTTCTGATTTTGGCTTCTAATCAAACATTACATTAGGTAATTCTTTTAGTTTGCAAACAGCTTTCATCAGGAGGTGGGTGGGTAATTTTAGGCCACTCCATGGAAGCTATATGTTTCTGCATTTATGTCTCCTTGAAGTGTTCAGTTTGATCTGTATGTACGGTGTTGAAGGTCATGGGCTGTCTTATTATTGATGTTAATGGTAAGACATGTAGTCAAAGGTGGCAAAAATGGCAAAATACATGTTTGCATATTCTTGTTTTTTGAAATTGGTGAATTGTGTTGACATTGAAAGGATGTCTTTAAATTGATGGAGTGTATTTAAATTTTTGAGGTGTGTATTCAAAGACTATAAAATCTATGTTTGTGTAATTTTGAAATGGGTAAGGTTTGCTTAGTTGAGATTATAAAATATGTAGATTTATAGTCTGAAGTTGAGATTATAAAATATGTAGATTTATAGTCTGAAGTTGAGCTGTTCAATGATTCAATTTTGTTGTTTTTGAATCAATGTTGGTGCAATGTGTAAATTTTTGGTGAGGTATGTTGTTTTGAAGTTGGTGAGGTGTGTTGTTTTGAAGTTCATGAGGTGTGTTGTATTGAAGTTGGTGAGGTGTGCTGTTTTGAATTTCTTGAGGGGTGTTGTTTTGAAATTGGTGAGGTGTGTTGTTTTGAAGTTGGTGAGGTGTGCTGTTTTGAATTTGGAATAGTGAGGTGTGGATGTGTCTGATGTCTGTTTGCATTCACACAGACATGTGGATGGATCATGGTTGTGTCCTTTTGCACGCAATCAGACATGACCTGACCATCCCAGGGTCACCTAGGGGTCCAAGAGTCACATCCATGTCCATGAGACACACATGTCACCAACTTCCAAACAACACACCGCATGTCTGTTTGCATGCAAACAGACATGGAACACATCCACACCTCATGTCCTTTTGCATGCATACGGATATCAGACCCATCCCCTGTAAGGACTGAGATTGTCCTTCACTGAAAGAAAGGAAATGAGCACGGGATGGCAAGAAGCCTAGACAATTTCTAAGACCAAACTGTTATTTTTATATTTCTGGCTCAGAGAGAAGTAGGGATCAGTTCTCTCCTCTTACAATCTGAATGGAAGAATATAAAAGAAGGAAAATAAGAGAATAGAAAAGGAAACTCACCTGGCTCAGAGAGAAGTAGGGATCAGTTCTCTGCTGAGCCAGGAAGGAAACACTGAGACGGAAAAACTAAAGATAATGTGACATCTCTCTTCTAATCTTGTGAAACCCTGACCAAGAGGGGAGGGGGTTTACAGTCTCCCCTCCTATAAAAAATTGAAGATAAACTAAGAGAAGAAAAAAATATAACAAAAGGAACAACAGCAGTTGATTCAACCAATCCAATGGAGTCTTCAGTGTCCCGCGATGCGATATGCCAAATCTGCCTGTGTGACCTTCTCAATTTCATTCAAAAGCAATTGGTTGTCGAGGTCTTCTAGTGCGGCGATGGCTGCTGTGTCAAGGCTGGGGAAACAGCCCTCGTCGTCAAATCGGCTGTCAAAACGGTTATCTTCCCTGATTGCTGCTTCAAGCGTCAGGGCTGAGACTTGGGCTTCAAGTGGGGATTCCGCTGAGATACCCGCCACAGTCGCTGCTCGAGCTGTAGGTCGTCCGGCAGGGGGGTGAGTCGGTTTACCTGGGGTGGCAGTTTCCTTGCTCCAGGCGCGGGGGGCGCTGTAATTAGGCGGCTTAGGGGGGGTCTGGAATTTGCTAGGGATGTTGATGTGTGATCGGTCGATCGGTCCAGGACAGGTCCCCGAGGCGTTGCCGCAGTGTCTTTTGCAGAAGTGGCAAAGCCCTTGCGAATCCAGATATGCATGTACGCGCCAGATGAACTCTTCTCGGCCTAGGGCTGGTGGCGCGTTCGGAGTTGATTTGGTCAACGTTGGCAATTCGGTCGGGCGTTGTAATGCGAGGAAGGAGGCGTTGGCTTGTTTCTCAAAAGGCCCGTAGTTGAACGGTGACACTTCAAGGAGTTGCCTCTCGTTAATTCGATCTTGTATGGCGTCGGCTAACCCATAGACAACGAACTGCGCAAGCTGAAGGTAGCCCAGTTTTGACGTTTTGTCGGCATCGAAGTTGAAGAGGCTCTGTAAGGTGCGAGCTCTCGTGCTGTATTCAAGAAACGTTTCGGTAGGGGTCATTTCCAGCTTGCGGACTTGGCGCTGTAGTCCCGAGCGCCAGTTGGTGGGGAGCGCAAAGTCGAACATCCGAGTCTTAAATTCGTCCCATGATCTCGTGAGGAAACCTGCCGCTTCGTTTGCGTAGAATGACTGTAAGTTGGTTTCCGCAATGAGATTGCCGAGTATCTTAATCTTGTCGGCCGCGTTGGTAACGTCTTTCGTTTCGAAAAAAATTTGGACACCATGTATCCACCGTAGGAACGACTCGGTTTCTTGGAAGGGGCCGCGATACATGGGTCCATCTGAGGTCCGAAATTTTTGGAGGTCAACTCGACCCGGCGTTGGTTGTGTTGGTCGCGCAGTGACTTCGTTCTTGATGTTCATCGCTAAGAGCAGGTCTTCTAATCTGGCAATGCGGGCTGCGCTAGCTTGATGGGAGGCCATCAGGATCTGCCGATCTGCTCGACGATCTTCTATGGCTTGTCGTCGATCTTCCTGCGCTTGAGCGATTGAAGAATGCTGGATCTTGAGAACTGCTTTGAACCACTCTTTGGCTGTGGTGACCTCGGACGGGTCGGCAGTGCGGTTGTTAGACTCTGACGATTGTTCTTGCCCCCCGGTTGGTACAGTAGTGTCAGACATCTTTCCAGTTGATTGAGAGGGGGTATGGTCAACCAGTTGAGTGGAAAATTGTGTGGCTTGTTTCCGTTTGGCGTTACCAGCTCTGAGGATTGCTTCGGGGTCTGATCGGGGAAGGATGTTATCGGAAGTAGCGTTGGTCCTTGTTATCATGAACTCAGTCGAGTGCGAAGATAAAATTCAAGTTGGTAGGTAAAAAAATTTGGGGCAGTGTCACAATGAAGTCGATGGAAAATTGGAGCAGTAAATTGATGGCGCAATCGGAGCGATGAGATCAATCGGAACAGTGGGGGAAATCGGAGCAGTGCGAGTAGCCGGGACAGTAAGTCGGAACAGTGGAACGGAACGGAGCAGTCGGATTCGTATGGAACGGTACAGTTAATTCAGTTCAGTAAGGCGGGGAAGTTGTTCGGAACAGTCGTTGTTGAAGATGTTTGGTGTGAGAAAAAAAAAGTGTAAGGACTGAGATTGTCCTTCACTGAAAGAAAGGAAATGAGCACGGGATGGCAAGAAGCCTAGACAATTTCTAAGACCAAACTGTTATTTTTATATTTCTGGCTCAGAGAGAAGTAGGGATCAGTTCTCTCCTCTTACAATCTGAATGGAAGAATATAAAAGAAGGAAAATAAGAGAATAGAAAAGGAAACTCACCTGGCTCAGAGAGAAGTAGGGATCAGTTCTCTGCTGAGCCAGGAAGGAAACACTGAGACGGAAAAACTAAAGATAATGTGACATCTCTCTTCTAATCTTGTGAAACCCTGACCAAGAGGGGAGGGGGTTTACATCCCCACCTAACTACACCTCATATCCATTTGCATGCAAACAGACATCAGACACATCAATGCCTCACTACACCTCATGTCTGTTTGCATGCAAATGGAAATCAGCCACACATCCACACCTCACCTGATGTCTGTTTGCATGCAAAGTTTTATGATGTCTTTCTTGCATACAAATGGGCATGGTGTAGTGAGGTGTGGATGTGTCTGATGTCTGTTTGCATGCAAACAGATATGAGGTGTAATGAAGCATTGATGTGTCTGATGTCCGTTTGCATGCAAACGGACATGAGGTGTAGTGAGGTGGGGATGTGTCTGATGTCCGTATGCATGCAAAAGGACATGAGGTGTCATGAGGTGTGGATGTGTTCCATGTCCGTTTGCATGCAAACATACATGAGGTGTGTTGTTTGGAAGTTGGTGACATGTGTGACTCTTGGACCCCTAGGTGACCCTGGGACCTTCAGGTCATGTCTGATTGTGTGCAAAAGGACACAACCATGAGCCATCCACATGTCTGTGTGCATGCAAACAGACATCAGACACATTCACACCTCACCATGCCAAATTGAAAACAGCACACCTCACCAACTTCAAAACAACACACCTCACCAATTTCAAAACAACACCCCTCAAGAAATTCAAAACAGCACACCTCACCAACTTCAATACAACACACCTCATGAACTTCAAAACAACACACCTCACCAACTTCAAAACAACATGACTCACCAAAAATTTACACATTGCACCAACATTGATTCAAAAACAACAAAATTGAATCATTGAACAGCTCAACTTCAGACTATAAATCTACATATTTTATAATCTCAACTAATTAGCAAACCTTTCCCATTCAAAAATTACACCTCACTACTGTTTGCACCAAAACAGACATTGAAGGCATCCACACCTCACCAATTTTAAAACAAGACACCTCAAAAAATTAAAAGCAGTACACCTCACCAACTTCAAATGCACCTCACCAAATAATTAAAACTTTGGAACTACATTTTTGTTTATATTTTTTCATATTCATTTTTAAGACCTATTCTGCACCAATTGACCAAGTCTCACGACTTCAATTTTGTGTTTTGGAGCTCTTCAATTCAAAATAAGCAGCCACTTTTCACTTTCTACCCACTGTAATTGAACAAGGAAAGACATAATTCAATAAATAAACAGCATTTCTGTGGTTCTTTACCTATAGGGCATTGATGAATTTTTGTATTTCAAGTTTATCCTATTCAGACCTTTGGCAATATTCTGAAAGATTCATTTTCCATTACAATTCTTTTAATGAATTTTTGTAACAAATTTATTGTGAAAATCAACAAAAAAAACATTTTCAGGCACTGAATTGAAAAGATATACATCAGGATCAAACTGGTCATTAAATTTAAATAAAAAAAATCTTACATTCAATTTTGTCACCCTCAAATTATTTTTTTCCCAGCTTCTAGCAACATCAGAAATTTGAGTCATAAGTTTACCATAATTTCTGTGTCTGCTTGTGGTTAACACCAGGGTACTTACCACAATTCATCACCCCTTGCACATGAGTAAAAATATAGAGACTTGAAATTTTGACAAAGTTGAAGCGTTTCTGTGAAACTCTAGATCTATTTCTGAAAGTTTTACATTAGAGATGGTCTCCAGGTATCCGCTGGTGGATACCTGCCAGCGGTGTGGTATGTCCATACCTTTCCATGTATCCTCATTTTTCACATCATCTTACATATATTCTTCCCAGTATTATTTCATATTCAGATTGTACACATCATTTCACCCCTAGTCACCTCTTACAGCTTTTCAGTAGGTCTTGTAGTTCTCTAGTTATCATCTCTTCAGTATATTCAAAGTTACAGAACAGTACATTACTTTGTACATACAGTACATATACATTGCACATTATCTAGTTACAGTATCTATGTGACATCACTCTTTCATCATAGTACATCATCTTATCTGCACTACATCATATACATATTTCTCTTCACACAGCTTTGACTTTCCATCTCTGATTAGCACTTGTATACACAGAACATCTATATCCAGTTTACTTTATTTCTCATCACTCATTACTGATTAAGATTTACATTACCCATAGTGTAAGGTCTGGATATGAAACTAGAAGGAAATTCTAGTACTATTCCTGTCCTAATAAATTTTTGTTAGTAATTTTATATGAAATTTAAAAGTTTAAAGTGTATTTAAACTTACAAAAAAAAGGGGATTGTTGGTTAAACAATCAAAGAAATTATAACCTCACAATATTACTTGTTAAGAGGCCTAGAGTTGAGTTTTAATCAATACTCTGAATTCCAAAGGAGGAATTGAGAAAAGGTGAATTGTTTGTTAGAAAATAGATCACAAGGAGTTCATCCAAAAAGGTTTTTTGGATGAGTTGAAGATTCCTGGGCAAATTCTAGAGCAATACTTCTGCAACAGAAAGTAAGAAAATGGCTAATTTTAAAGGAATAAGGAGCTAGGATCTTTTAAGGGCAAAGGCTACAGGTTAAGGCTGAAGGTAGCAGTAAAAGAGGAGCTCTGTTTCGTGGTTGGAATGCTAAGGTTGATAAGAGAAATGGTTGGAAATGCTGGCTTCAAGTATATAGTAGTATATATGGTGAAGTGGGTGAATTTCTGAGGTTTAAGCACTCAATAAAGGAGTCCTTATATAGCCACACACCTGAGGGTGGCTTGCAGTGCATTTTTGCACGATGACACTGATGCTTTGGGCTTGTTTGGCTGGGTGTAAGCCATGCCCAAGGCCTTGGTTATCAGTATCCCAAAGGCTGAAACAGTTGTAACTGTAACCACGGGTACAGCTACCCAGTCAGGAAGTAATGATGCAATGATGCAATGCCAAGTTATTGCTAGGGTTCTATATTCCCAAAGGAGACTTTTTGTTTCGTCTCCAATACATTTTGGAGGGATTTGGTTGAGGTATTCTGATATGTACTGGCTCTGAACAGATTAAACTACTTGGGCCAGATTGAAATGGGCCAATTCTCAACCCTGTTGATTTCAAACTGGACCAGGGTTGTTCTGGTGGATGGCTGATGTAAGAGGATATTCTGAGTTTGCTCAGAAAGGTTATTAAGGTTAGGGATAAACAAAACAGGTTACATGACCAAGTGGCTGGTCAGGGTTCAGAATATGTGGTCTAAACTGGTTACTTGGTTATAGTTGCTGAGCTACAAGGTTGTACATGTTGCACAAGCCTTGGAACCTTGTTTATCTTGAGTTCGCATCCAATGAACTTTGTTTATGTCATCAGCTGATTTGGTTCTGTAACTTTAAATGTCTGTAACTCTTTAGTTATTGATTATTTTACAGAATTCTTTGTTTTTTGAGTATGTAGTTACACAGTGGTATGTAACTACATGAATTTTGTTTTTATTTTCTAAGTAAAGTAAAAAAAAGTTTATTTTTATTTTTTAAAGGCCTTTGTGGTCATTTGCAGGCTTTTGACCATATACACTTTTATATATAGATTTTTATGCTTAATATTAATTTATTATTTATAATATTTTTTCTTGGGCTAGTCTTGAGACTTGACTATGAGTTGTAATTGTTATTTTTATTATTTTATATTTTGAGGCCTATGGGTATGTATATACCTCAAGGCTGGCACATAGCCACTTCCCCAGCCATGGTTCTTTGCTGTTTTATGTACAGCCCCTTGACAGAAAAAATGGAACCCTTTAATTGTAGTCTAGAGGCCAAACCAATGGACTTCAATTTATGCTTCCTGGTGAAACTGTGGAGAATGAGTTCTAAAGAATGATTCTGAAAAATTGAAACGGAAAATATTTTGTAAATATTTTGTATGTTTTTCCCCATTTTCTGATTTTTTGGGTATTTTTCAATCATTTTTCAAAGTAGCTCAGAAAATTATGATCAATGCAATTGCATGTGAAAAGAATGATTATAAATGAAAAATCAAAAAAAAAATGATCAACAGCTTTTTTAAGCATGTTTGGATTGTGTCATCCACCAGACCAACCCTGCAATCAGGCACTGAAATTGAATTCAATTTCAATATCAATTCAACTTCTTCAGCTCTCTAAACTTTGAATCATTGATTTTTCTCAATTTTTCATTTATAATCATTCTTTCCGCATGCAATTGTGTTGATCATAATTCTCTGAGCTACTTTGAAAAATGATTGAAAAATACCAAAAAAATCATAAAATGAGGAATAACATACAAAATTTTTACAGAAGATTTTCCATTCCAATTTTTCAGAATCATTCTTTGGAACTCATTCTCCACAGTTTCACCAAGAAGCATAAATTTAAGTCCATTAGTCTCCCCTCTAGACTCCAATTAAAGTGTTCCATTCTTTCTGTCAAGGGGCTGTACTGTACAACGGTGCAACGAGTCCTATACACGTATTGTATAGGCATATACAGCGTATTGCACTTCGTCAGAAGTACATGTATTTTGAAATACATGTATTGCATCTGCTAGTGAATACAATACAAATACATTGTATTCATTTTCTAGCCTATACAATACGAATACATTGTATTTACAAATACATTTTTGGTTGTATTCCCTTTAAAACCCCTTTTTTTTTCTCTTTTTTTCTCTTTTTTTTCTCTTTTTTTTCTCTTTTTTTTCTCTTTTTTTCTCTTTTTTTTCTCTTTTTTTTCTCTTTTTTTCTCTTTTTTTTCTCTTTTTTTTTTCTTTTTTTTTTCTCTTTTTTTTCTCTTTTTTTTCTCTTTTTTTTCTCTTTTTTTTCTCTTTTTTTTCTCTTTTTTTTCTCTTTTTTTCTCTTTTTTTTCTCTTTTTTGTTGATTTATTTTCCTTTTGATTTTTCTTTCTCATTTTTTGCACCAAATACATTGTATTCATGTTTCAGCAAATACAATACAACCTTTAAAAACCCATTTTTTTCAGAGATGTAATAAGATGACAGGATCTGGATACAATACAATGATTGCTTTTGTGAGTGTTAGAGGGGTGGGAGAAATAAAGCAAACAATAGAGAAACAAAATCTGAATGCAAAAAATACACAGAAATGCACATAAAAGAGGTGAAAAGTGTATCATTTGCTGGCTGTAGCTGCCTCATGTCTGCTCTCATGGTGGTCAACTAAATCCTGACTGACAATCACCTGCGCTCTTTCAAAATCCCCATCGGCCTTGAATCCTTGTTTCAACCACTGGTGAGAGCTTACTGACTTTTCGATTGTTCTGGGTGCTAAACTCCCTCGATTGCGTCCGCAAATGTCAGCTGCAGCTGAGAAGCATCGTTCCACGCTAGCTGAAGTTGCTGAGCAAGCCAGATAATCCTTGGCCAAGGAGGCTAAGGTGGGAAATTCATTTTGATGTTCCTGAAGAAAAATACAAAAGGTAAATGAGCCTTTAACTGACAGGCAATATTCAGGTATCCCAAACAGGATACTTACTTTCCACCACCCTAGACACTGGTTTGCATCGGCCCCAAGAACCTTATACTTACCGCCCAGGTAGTTGGCCAACTCATCAGTATTTGTGGATTCCACGGCCCCAGGGAATAAATCCAAATAATCGATTGGCCGCCGATGGCTGGTCTTCTGGGGTTGGGATGGCTGCGGGGGAGTTGATTCTCTTGAGGTAACAGTAGCAGCAAGTTCTGCCTTGCGTTTGTCGAATTGCTGTCGAAGCAATATTTCGGCGTATTCATGGTGAGAAGAGAATACTGCTTGGAATATTGAAAGCCGATATGATGGGTTCAACATGGTTGTTAAGAGTATCGTGTTGCAGGATAACGCCTCCGAAAGGTAAGTTTCAGTCTTTTCAATCATCTTCTTCAGCATTGATCGGAATTCATTTTCAGTCACAGAGGCAAGGCGGTCCTTGAGGGAGTCTTTGATTGCTTGATATTCCACTAAAAGCATACCGGCTGAGGAATGGTCGCCTTCCATTTTTTTAGTTATGAAATAAAACTCCTGAAACATACAATCCAATGATTAGTTAACAAATTTCAAACATTCAGGAAACTAATGAAGAAAATGAAAAGCTAAATCAAAAAACACTGACACTAAGTATATCATTTAGTCGCTTTACAATTTCCCAGTCACCTCGGGTGATCTCACAATCCTGGTAGAAGCTTTTACCACCATCTCTTTCTTGCCGGTCTTTCTCGTTTTCAATGAGTTTGTTGATCACATTTTGACTCTGGTATGCCCGGTCTCGACTTTGCCACTTGATGTTCCATCGGATGCCATAGCCGGCAATGAGAGTTGGGCCAGGATCATCAAGCTTGGTGCGCCATAATTCAAACTCGGAACGTTTAGAAGAAGAGGAGGTAATTCGCTGAATAACAAAATCAACCTTGTTGAGTATTCCAGCCATTGTCTCAGAATTTCCAGGAGACCCCGCCAATTCGTCCGTTTCATCTTCACAGTCCTCGTCAGATTGATCTAAAACCGGTGCATCAAGGTCCTCATCGCCTGAGAGAAAAGCCGCTCCTTGATTGTTGTTGTTTGTCTCTTGAGGATTTTCCGGAATTGTATCAAGGAAGGGGACATGTCCAAGTGTCTTTTTCTTACACTTAGTCAGCCCAGCAGTGTTGGTATCAATCGCTTTGAGACCAGATGCCACAATTAGTGCAATCTTATGACATACACATCGGATGTGGTTGGAGCTGAGGTCTGGGTTGATTCCGGTTTTCTTAGTGATTATGCGGTCCACCTCGGCAGTCATTGTACGGTTGTTTGAGCTAGGATGTAAAAAAAAAAGTAGAAATGTAGGTTAGATATGGATCAATCTGACAACAAAAAAACTGAAAACAAAAACAAAAATAAATACTTATCTTTGTGTGGAGTGAAGACTTTGTAATGACATTTGCAAACGGAACTGCAAGGTATTTACCCTTGTGCGTCCATGAAATGTACTTGAGACCCAGGTGACATATCTCAAATGCCCAATCTTCTGTAATGTACGCAGCCGCAATTCCCAGGAACGCGTGATGATTCCCTTTGGTGGTCCATACATCATGGATCAGAGTGATTTTGGATTTGAGTGACTGTGCAGAAAAAGAATGTGGAATTAAAAAAAATCAAATGGCAAGCAACAGAAGTTTAAAATGGAGAGTATGGAGCAACTGGCTTACCTTAAGGTTTGATATCACCTTCTCCTGCAGGTTGACATACAAACGTTGGGCTTCTTCCGCTGCCCATGTGCGTGAGTAAAGTTTGATTCCCTTTCGAGCATAGTTGAATGAAATCGCCAGCAGAGTATCCTCAATTCTCATCCAAGGGAGAGCCAATCGCATGAGCCACATAACGAGGATTTGATTCAAAGTCCGGTTATCAAAGTTGCTGTCAGCAAGATTTGTCAATACACTAGCGTTCTTCTCTTGTTCGATTTTCTCTTTGATTGTCACCGGTAAGTTTGCTCCGTTTTTGATTGCTTCGTCTCGCAATTCACAAGGTTTCCTCGAAACGTCACCATCACAATGCTTGAGCAGATTAGAGCGAGTGCGTGTGGATGTCTTATATGGTCGACGATTGCACCATTTGCACTGGTAGTATAACTTCTTGCCGTCGGTCTACAGAGGTGATTTTTGGGAAATCAGTAAGTTTGTTGACATGGAACAATGAACAATGAAATAATAAAATACATACATTTCCCTCCCCGTATTGTGGAGCCTCAAAATAAAGACCAATATCATCATAATCATTCTTATTAGGCCCTCGGGTCTTTTTTGTCTGTTTGGTCAATTTTGAGTTATCTTCATCAGAGTCTTGAGGCAGGTTGAGGAATTGAACGTCCTCATCTGATTCGGAGGTAGTTTCCCTGTTGTTTGTTGATTTTTTAGACTTCTTCTGAGATTTCTTAGGAGCTGCGGACTTGGTGGATGCAGACGAGACCCGCTTGCGGGATTTTGTGATGGAAGTCGGCTGGCTTGAAACACTGGCCTCTCTGGTTGCTGGCTGGACTCGGAGCGACCAACGTGTGTCGGTATCTGTTTGAACATAGTTTGTATGTGATCTGAGAGGGGTAGACAGACGGGTAGATTGTCGTGAGGGGGGCCGAGAGACCAAAGGGGGAGGTTGGGCCATCAGGGCCAAGAATCACTTGACGTCAAAGCCAAAGTGGTGTTGCAAGTGAGACCCAAGTGAGGATGACTAGTGAGAGAATAATTGTTTGAGGGAAGGTGATTGTGGGTTGTTTGAGGCGAGGCGCAATGTATGAGCCTTTCCAAGTGCAACAACACAGCGCAGCAAGGGCAAGGTGTGGGTGTAAATTACAACTAAAAATAAGTAAGTACAATTTACGGTGTAAATTACAACTAAACAAGTAAAATAAGAGTGCAAAGTCAGTTTCAGAGCCAATTCCCTTAGCTTGATCTATCAAAGCAAGAAGAATATGTACAACAGCAATGAAAGACTGACTATCAATTGGCAACCTTCAATTGCTGTGGGTTTTGTTTTGCTCCAATTGATGCCCTCAACGCTATGATTGATCGGACTCAAGGGGGTCAGGTGCTGAGGGGACAAAGGCTGGTCAGCATGCTGGCCCCCATCAAAGGCATGAGGTTAGAAACCCACTTGGCAGCCAGTTGGCTGCCAAGTGGGTTGGGGTGCTCACCTGCTTGGTGGGCCCAGGCTTTGTTGATCAACTTTTCAGGAGATTAACTGTTGCAATGCGTTGATCGATCGCGCTTGGATTCAGGTGAAGATCCACTATCGCGCTGTGTTGATCGATCGCACTGCGTTGATCGATCTCGCTGTGTTGATTGATCGCGCTGTGTTGGTCGATTGCGATGTGTTGATTGATAGAGCTTGGATTCAGGAAGATCCGCTATTACAAGCGCCGCAACGAAACGTTCGGCTTGGATTCGGTTTAAGCGTAGCTTGCAGGGGTCGGGTGCTGAGGGGAAAAAGGAAAGACCGGTCAGCATTCTGGCCCCCGATCATAGTCATGAGGTTAGAAACCCACTTGGCAGCCAGTTGGCTGCCAAGTGGGTTGGGGTGCTCACCTCCTCGGCGGGCCCAGGCTGCGTTGATGCGTTGATCAACTGTTCAGGAGATCGACTTGATCGCAATGCCGCAACGAATCCTTTGGCTTGGATTCTAGTTAAGCGTATCGTAGCTTGTAGGGGTCCGGTGCTGAGGGGACAAAGGAAAGGCCGGTCAGCATTCTGGCCCCGATCGTAGTCATGAGATTAGAAACCCACTTGGCAGCCAGTTGGCTGCCAAGTGGGTTGGGGTGCTCACCTCCTCGGCGGGCCCAGGCTGCGTTGATGTGTTGATCAACTGTTCAGGAGATCGACTTGATCGCAGTGCCGCAACGAATCCTTTGGCTTGGATTCTAGTTAAGCGCAGCTTAGCTTGTAGGGGTCCGGTGCTGAGGGGACAAAGGAAAGTCCGGTCAGCATTCTGGCCCCCATCAAGATTAAAAGTCATGAAATTAGAAACCCACTTGGCAGCCAGTTGGCTGCCAAGTGGGATGGGGTGCTCACCTGCTCGGTGGGCCCAGGCTGATTTGATCGATCCTTCCGGTTAAGATCCACTGCAAGCGACTTGATCGTTTGCTAAGGGTAGCTTGCTTGTAGGGGTCAGGTGTTGAGGGGAAAGAGGCTAAGTCAGCATACTGGCCCTCATCAAAATCATGAGGTTGGAAACCCACTTGGCAGCCAGTTGGCTGCCAAGTGGGATGGGGTGCTCACCTAAGGTGGGGGGGGGGGAAGAACCTTGGCGGTATTGATTGTCTTTGGTTTGGATCCGCTCAACTTCAATGTGATCACAATACGTGAAATACGTGGGGTGTATTGCAGCGGACCTGCAATACATTTATTTGTATTGTACTCCAAGGGCAATACATAAAAAAAGAATACACTTGTATTGCAGCGGCCTTCCGCTGCAATACAAATACATGTATGACCTATACATTTTGGTGCAATACACACCCACCAGAAATACACGTATAGGACTCGTTGCAGCGTTGCTGTACATGTTGTACACATATATTATATCTCTTTCTTCCTCTTCATGTATTTTCCCCCTTATGCTATGTATGCTATGTACCTTGCCTGAATTATCTTCTAACCATAGTCTTAGAAATCAGAATACTAGTATCACCCTTATATCCTTACCAGATATCATTGCCAGTTATATTTGCCAGCTATACTTTGCCAGTTATAAACCCCCTTGCCAGTTATAATTCCTCATTTGCCAGATTATCACCCTTTGCCAGTGCCATTCCTCATTGCCAGTGTTACACCCTTGCCAGCATTATCCCATCACACCTCATTGCTTCTCCTCTTCTCACCTAATTAGGTACTACATACACAAGCTCATCAGTGATAGTAGTCTAAGATAAAGAAGAAATCAGTCACACCTCTATTCTTCTTTTTCTTAGTGTTACACTCTTCCCATCAGCATTGTACAGGAGGGCAGCCTCATCGGCTCCTGTAGTATCAGCTTACATTAGTACTAGTGTAGTTTTCTATATCCCCTCCAAGCTCTATCTCCCTGGTTGAGTAGTTCCACAGCGGATGCCCCCTTTTCCGTTAATTCCCTGGCCGCCAATTTAATGGGCGGGTATCCGTGGATACCCGCTCAGATACCCGCTGCGGCCGATGGATACCCGCCAGGGGGTGCGGATGGCAATTTCCCCGGAAAAATCAGCCGGATATCTGGATGCGCCAGGGCCATCTCTATTTTACATAGAAGTGCCTGATATAATTTGATTGTAATTCAATTCTGAGTCAGTCATTCTAGAAAAAAACTGCTGATGCCATTCAAATTATCATATATTCTGGTGTTTCTCAGTTTTATCAGCAAACAAACAGGGGAAAACCATGTGTCAAGATCAGGGAAAGATGAAGGAAATTGAAAATCTTTCTTTGGAAATTGAAGATAAATTCAGTGTAACACCCAGTGAATTTAAAATGAAATTTATAATTATTTCATGGTACTTCTAGTGATTTTAATTTCTTTTTTTCAATATTTTGAGGTGACTGAGTTGAGACTCAAAGTCACTGGCTTGCCAGTGCCTTGGAATTTCCCCTGGTTTGCATCCCATTTGAATCAAACCAACAATTGATGCAAGAAAATGAATTCTCATCATTTGCATATGTCAAATCCAATACTCACCTCTCCCAGCTTGACTGTGCACCCCACATAATCTTCACTTCAAATGGCATCTACAATCAACCTCATCGTGACAAAGGGGACGCTTCCAAATTTGCCTTTGGACTCTTTGTTCCCACGAAAACATCTGATGGAACCCTGGTTGACCCCATTGCGGACGCCTCACTCATCAGAGATTCCACTGGTGGTCTTTGTTTTCCCCGACTGTCATTTTTGTACCAAATTCAAACCGGATGTTGTTGTCAAGGTAGTTTGGGCTGCCAAGCAATGCAAGCATTGTACACTCCCAGGAATTGAAGCTAAGGGATTCACTTGTGTGGGAACGTCCCTTCAAATTACTACAAAATCTTTGAGCATATTCCAGGCAATCGAGAGTGGATTAATTTATTTGAGAAAGAGTTATCTTGACAAAAAAAACTTTACTTTGGTGGACATTGAAACTACATGGAAAAGAGTAGCAAATAGTGTTGGTCAGCCACTAGTTTTCATTTCATTTCCCAAAAGAAGAATTACTTACTCTGAATGAATCAAACTGATTTGTAGCCCTTCCGACTCTGGTCTTATGGTTTTCCTTCTTAAAGTATAACTATAACCTAATGTTGCTGTCTCATCTTGAAATACTCTTTCACATCTACTGCACTGTTCAATGTTATATTTTCATGGGATATTTGCAAGATGTGGTAGACAATTACCTGATCAAGAAACATGATCCAATTTCTCTGTTACCATCTTAGCTTTCCATAATCTGACAAAAAATGATATATGAGGAGCAATTGAGTCCAAATGAGCTGGTTGGAATATGAGCTAAGAAATTATGATTTAACTAATTGATCTGTCAGATGTGGCCAATTCTTGTTTGAATAGAGCTGCCTGTTTTGGCAGTGGATAGAGCTATTTTTGATGGAGCTAACAGAGCTGGTGGTTTATCTTGGGGCCAAGCAGGATTTTTTGGGGAGCTGACAGAGCTGGTAGTTGTGGTTTGGTCCAGTGATTGATCTGATAGATCTGGCTCTTCTTCAGAAAATAAACTGATTCTTGTTTGGCTCAAGAGCTGATGGAGCTGCTGTGAGTTTTTCTTTTGCTCATGAGCTGGCAGAGCTGGGTTTTTTTTCTGGATAATGACAGAGCTGGCTCTCCAGGAGCTGACTGAGCTGGTATTCCTTTTTTGGCACAAGAGCTGGCTCTTCTGGGGAGCTGAATGCTGGTG